TCCCCAGCCAGCCTTGCTGGCTGGGGAATTCTGGGAGTTGAAGTCCACACATCTTCAAGTTACGAAAGTTGAGAAACACTGCCCCATAGGTTTGACTTCTATCCTTCCAAATTTGGTGAGGGCACCACTTAAGCAAAATGGGTAATATATTATAATAAACCTTTTATGTTGATTCTTGCAGTTTGGCACGATACATCCAGTCCCAGGCATGCCCCTGGATCCATCTCCTGTTACTGTCACTGTACGAAGGCGTAGGAAACCCCAAAGGAAAACTATCTTTATTCCAGCCCCCTAAGACTATCTGCACCAGGGTAATAAAGGATGGCACCTCCAACTTGCTCCAGGATCAGTGACCTTCTCCATCTCTCTGTCGGTTACTCGGAGCCTTGGCAAACCTACACGCAAAGATCACTCCCGGCCACAAGGAAACAATCAAAAACTTAGCAACTTTTGTGTCTAGGCATATCTCACAGGAGGAGTGCCCAAGACATGTCTATTTCACTGGACAGCAAGAAACTACCTTTGCTAAAACAGGAAGCCAGTAGTTGGCGGGTTGGTGGATTGCTTGCTTGATTATGTCCCATCAAGCCGGTGTCGATTTTTAGAGACCACATAGGTGGTTTTTTTCTGTGACGATCTGTCCCCAAATGGTCCTTCAGGTCCCAACGGTGCACTCATTGCCACTGTAACTGAGTCCGTCCACCTTGCATGGTCATCTTCTTTTTCCTTTCCCAGCATCAGAGCCTTCTCCAGAGAGCTGGGTCTTCACATAATGTGCCTGAAGTAGGATAACGTGAGCCCTATCATTTGTGCCTCAAGTACAAAATTGGTTTTAGAGAATTAGCCTGATTCCAAACAAAAAAAAAGGCCTGACAATCAGTCATAACTCGGTGGCTCCATGCTCACGGATCTATTTTGGGGAAGGGAAGTTAACTTTTTTTTTTTCTTGGACATACTTCTGCAAACCAGGAAGTTCCTTCAACTCTGCTGATAACTTTTTTTGTTCTCAATTCCTTTTTGTGCAGATCAGCAGTTTACATCCATAGCAAAACTCAAGTATGAATGTTTGAAATAGCAGAAATGATAAAATAGCATTTTTAGGCCTGCAGCAAGGGCCTCTATTGCTTTAGAGTTTGGGGGATGATTTTATACGGCACCAGTACGCTTGAGATATGATTGAAAGGCAGCATCGAATGACTCGAAACGGCCACAGGGGATTAAGAAAATATGGTCAAAACGATAGGGCCCTGCCCTGGGGAACCTGCAAGCTATATTTTGACAGAGAAGCGTCATGGAGAGAAGAAATTAGCAGGTTGGAAAAGAAATTCAACTTTTAGAATGTGTCACTTGGTGGTATAAATCATTTTCCAAAACTGTTAAGTTTTATAACATTGCCACCAAGTATTAAAAAATGATCGAAACTGGTCATTACATTTCCATCGTTAAAGTTGTCCATCTTAGCAATCCATATTGGACTAATGTTGTTGTTGTTGTTCAGTCGTTAAGTCGTCTCCGACT